CTCCTCCTCCTCCTCCTCCCCCTTCTCCTCCTCCTTTCTTCTAATTCTTATTCCTATTCCTCCTTTCTTTTGCTGGCGGTGAGGCAGGGAATGGGGAGAAATGCTGCTCACCCACACACACAGAACTCTTGCGCACACCCCAGCGCCTAGGCGTTCCTGGCTGGTACCATCAACCAGGGGACCCAGAACTCCAGTTGCCTACAACTCTAGTCGCCGACTTGACTCTCTTTTTTGTATCTTTCTTTTTTCTTTCTTTTTTTTTTTCTTGCACTCAACAGACCCCAGGCCCCCAAGGAGGCCTGGTGACAGAGGAACTCACTGTCTGAGAGAGGGGTAGGACAAAGGGCGGGGAGGGGTGGAAACCTTGTTTTCTAGAGAACTATTTTGTTTGTATCCACTGTCCCTTGTGAGGAAGGACTCGGTGGGAGCTGGTCACCGAGGGTAGCTGATGGTGTACAAGCCCACACACAGTAAAGGGAGTTCACAGCTGCCTCCGCCCTCTTGCATTCTGTGTTGATAGACACTTCGAAGGTTTGGATGGAGAGGAACCCACAAAAAAAAAAATCTTTAAAGAAACAATTCCCTCTTGGGACCACTCTCTCCCAATCTGTCTTCTCCTGGTATTCCTCCCCCTCCCCCAATTCCACCTTCAGCCAAGCTGCTGGCCACCACCTAGTAGGTACTTTTCCAGAGGTGCCCCCTTTTCCTACAGCTCCCCCCAAATTCAGAGCATCTGTTACGGAAGCCCCAGGAAGATGACTCAGGGAGAATTCTCGGAGGCTGGACCCCATGCTCATTTGTAACTCACTTCTGTGGCCGCCTGGGATAAATGTGTTGTCTCAACCCTGTTGGCTCAGGAGCCTCAAATCCAATGTGAGGTTACATAAAACTCCCAGCTGCTGCCTGCCTGGCCACTGAGTCCCAAGGTGGGCACTACACCTGCATGCTTGTTTAGGTATGTGAGGACCCAACAGGTCACCACTGCAGCTGGCCCACCTGGGGTTTCCCCTCCTCTGCTTGCCCTAGAGGTCAGGTTCCTCCAAGAACCCCTTAGTTTCTTGTCCTGGTTCCTAATTGCCCCACTGTTCCCACCAGTGCCCCCTCCTTGTTATCTGCCAGATGTTCTCTCTAGGCTGTCTCTAGCCTTTGCTCATCTGAAGCAAAGCTAAGATAGGAGTGAATATAGCTTGGCTTTGGGATTTATAAGAGATAAAGATAGAGAATGGAATGTTGGCTGACTGAGGTCGAATGCTGCCTCTTACTGGTTACTCTTTGTTCTCATTTCCCTGCACCAACAGGAGTCAGCTCCAAGATCTAAGGGGGGCTTCTGTCAGAGCCCTGGCTCCATCTACAGAACCCCAACATGCCCAGGTAAAACATCTCTGGGAACGGCCATGTGACAGCTCTGTCAAATGAGATATAAGCAAAAATGACAGACAGGACTTCCACAAAGTTCCTAAAAGTCCTCCCCCCAACCCTGGCCACTGTAGGCCCCAACCCCTCTCTAGTCTCTCTCCCTGGTGTTCAGTCTACAGGGTGGAGGCAGGAGTAATCTGGCTGAGGGAAAGCAGACTTTGCCTGTGTGAAGACTCAGCCAGGCTGCACCCCAAACTACTGAAAGTGGGGGAAAGTGGGAGGCAAGCTGTGGGAATTGAGGTTTCTCTTTCAGGCAGAATTGCCAGCTCCTAAGTGCCTGCCTGGCCTTCCTGGCTTGTCATGTCAGAGAAAAAAACGAAACAACCAGTTCATCACACAAACCAGCACCCAAGGCTCCCCAGAGCAGGTCCAGCCGCCACCTTCCCTGGCAGAGCAGAGGGTGAGCTGATGCAATCCCACCATCCCGCAAGAGGACTGAAATGCTGGAATTGGAAGGAGGATCCAGCAGCTGTTAGAACCACAATGATTTAGGTCCCTGCCCTGGAAGCAGAGTGAGATGGACACATGCACAGACTAGCAAAGGATGAGAGCCTCTGGAAAATTCTGGTCTGAAAAAGGGTATTGGGACAGGGGTTGGGAAGGGCCAGCCTTGGCCTGGCCCATGGGTTGGGTGGGGCTTTGGAACATAAATGCTATCATGGCAGAGCTCTTGTCTTGAGCAAGGGTGTTGCAGCCTAGGAGGCCACTGGCTCTGTTAAGGGTCTACAGTGACTGTGGAGCAGAGCCTCCCATGAAGAGGCTGTGAGCTCAACACCAATAGCTATTACACACACTACCCCTTTCTTTCTTGTTGGTGTGTTTTTGTTTTTTAGAGACAGGGTTTCCCTGTGTAGCTTTGCAGCCTTTCCTGTAACCCACTCTGTATACCAGGCTGGCCTCGAACTCAGAGATCCACCTACCCTTGCCTCCTTAGTGCTGTAGTAAAGGTGTGTGCCACCACCACCCAGAAACATGTACCCCTTCCTTTATGTCACCTGGGAGCATCCCAGGTCACTGGAGGGGCCTAAGAGGAGAGAGAAGGGGACCCACTCTGTCCTTCCTGACCTCTCAGCTTGCCTTGCTGTGTCAGCATCCCTGGGACCAGCCAGTCTCCTCTGGAGCTGGTGCAGTGCACTGTAAATCAGAATGGCAGCCCGAATCCCTAAGGAATGCTCGGGCCCTGACCTCAGCTGGAGGGTGGAGGGAACATTGCCAGTAGCCATTTGGAAAACTGACATCTTCCAGATCATGGAATGAAGGAGAAAACAAGGTCACCCAGGCCGGAAGTCCCAGCTCAGCTTTGGATGTCTGGTTACCAAGGCACAGACAGGGGAGGAAGCACCCTTTGCCCAACTGGGCTCATGGCAGCACCCACCTGAGGCACCATGCAGGTGTTAAAGATGTTAGCCCTGCCCTTAATCCCACACTTAACCCAGGACCAGGTTTTCATCTTGGCTCTGATGACTCTGCAGCTTTTAGTGGCAGAGGTGGGGAGCCTTAAGCATCAGGGCTCTGGTGATGGAGCCAGCAGCACCACGGTCCTAAGCAGTGACATCTACAGGTACCTGGGCCCTAAAAGTTTAAGAACCATTGTGTTAGGAAGGCATAGTTCATTGTATGGAGGGGCAAATAGAGGCTAAGAGGAAGGAAGCGACTTGCCTGAAATCATGATTGCCCCTAAACCCTGTCGCAGCTGCAGGTCTCTATCTTCACTGACTCCTCTTTGCCCACCTCCCTCTTCTATCCTGAGTGGGAGTCCCTGGGGAACCAGGGGAATCCACCCTCTACACAAAGGCTGCCCTGGCCCTGCCCCCTAAGTAAACAGGACTGCTGTGTTGGCAATCTTGCCTCCAACCATGCTTCACAGTTATGAGGCATTTATGGGAGCCTGGGGATCAGCTCACATCTCTTGCAGGTCTGCAAGGAACTGGGGTGAATCCGATGGCCTCCGAAGTGTGAGGCACTAAGCCTATCCTAGCTCATCTTAGGTGGGAATTGTTAAAGGGATGGGCCCTGATAAGCTTTACTGGCTTTTCTTTTAGAAAGCACACACTGCAATTTATAGGCAAGTTAGAAATATGAAAAATATATGTATATTCTGAGACAAAGTCTTGCTATGCAGCCCAGGTTGGCAGAGGACTCCTGATCCCCCTGCCTTCTTTGTGACAGGACATGTTAAGTCAAAATTATCCACAAGTCTCCATCCAGCTAATATCTGTCAATGCTTTTTGATAGCTATTTCCAGCATTTTCTATAACAAGCACCCCCACAAGAATTATTCTCATCTGTCCTTCCAGTTCCATAGGATGCTGGGATTACAAAGGCACTCTGCCCGGCCTTTGTGTGTGTATGTGTTCTGGGGATCCACATTCAGGTCACACTTGTGTGACAAGTGCTTTCCCCACTGAGCCTTCACTTTTTAGATCTCTCATTGAACCTGGAGCTCACCAATCAGCCAGGCAGGTTGTCCAGCAAGCTCCAGGGATCCACCCCTCTCTGCCTTCCAAGTGCTGCGTTTACAGGTGGGCACCACTGTGCCCAGTCTCTTACACGGGTGCTGGGGATGGATCCAGGCCCTCATCCAGGCCTTGGTCGGCACTAACTGGGCCATCTTCCCAGCCCTCTGAAGGCCTAAAAGAAGGCTAGCACAGCCTTTCATCTTGCTCCTGGCCCCTTCTCTCTTCCCTCTCAGTCTCAGCTGGTGGCAGAGGGACTCCAGCTCCCAACAGGAAGTTGCTGCATGCTTCTCTGTGAGGACAGGATCTGGCCAGGTGCTCCAGCCCCACCCCACCCCTCGTGGCTGTTCCTAGTGGCAATGAGAACTTTCTATCCTAGAAGGGCAGGACTGGGGCAGGAGCATGCAGGGTGCAGGCTGGTTCCAACCTCAGCTGAACAAACAGGTGGCCTTTGGGACACAGGCAGGAGCTGAGGTGGACACTTTTCATAGATGACCAGTGCCTACTTATCTAGCCAAGAATAGGGTGGCTACAAAGGCAGACGAGATGGCAGCCCAGGCCAAGGGCCTGGAGCATGTCACCTGGATTTGAAACTGGCCTTGACAGCTACAGTTGGTGTGACTTTGACTCAGTCACTCTGTATCTTGTCTTCTCATTGCTGAAAAGGGACAGTAACAATAGTCTTGATCTCCCAAGGCTATCTCTAAGTCACACTGGTGGGGTGGAAAACATGCCACCCATTATGTCTACTGTTGTGTGGCTTGGTCACCTGCACACCTGCCATGTGACACAGCCTCACCTCTGCTCTTTTTCTCCCTCTCTTTCTCTCTTTTCTTTCATATACCAGTGTGCCAGGCTCCAGGCACAAGCATCCTTTAGGGCTGATACGGCCCAACCCTTCCACTTGCCCTACTCCTTCCTATATGCAGGCAGCTGCTCAGCCTTCATGCTACCCAGGAACAGAAAGACACTGCAAGCCTCCGTGACCAAGAGATCCCCCTGCTCCTGGGCTGCCCTGTTATGTAGCAGCTCAGCCAGAGCCCTCAGGGCAGGAACCCCTCTGCTTACTTCTTCAATGGCTGGCCTGGGACTCAGAGCAAGCCTGCTTCCCTAGCCTTCAGTGCAGAGATTACAGACTTGCTCCTTCTGGTTGTTCTGCCACACATGTTGTGTAGATGGGCTTGGAACTAGGCAGGGAAATTAGCAGGGCTGGAGAGGGAGGTATGAATGGGACAGTGAGTAACCAGGAAATGGAGGTCTGAGGATAAATTCCCAGTGGCTTTTCTGGAAGGCACAGATAGTCACGTGGCTGTCCTGGGCTTCCCAAGTCCAGGGAAGCCCTCTGGCTGCTTGCATGGTCTACCAGCCTCTGCTGACCCTCCACTACTCAGCCTGCCCCTCACACTACCCCTGCCCCTCATCCCTTCAAGGTTCTGCTCCATCCAAAAATTCCCCCCAAAAGGTGTAGAGAGGCTGTAGGGAAGGTCATGAGGGCCAGGCAGGGCTGGCTCTAGGAAGGTCCTAGGGCCTGGCTGAGCCCAACAACCCAGTGACAGGGTCACTATGGTGGCAGTGGACAGAGCTGGCCCAGGAACAAGTAGCAGGGCTTCAAGAGCAGGCCAGGCTGATGTGCTGAAGGTGCAGATTTGGGGGGCACCTTTGATTCCTAGAGGCACTGTCAATGGCTAGAAGACTAGCCTCTAGGGTCCCTGTGTGTCTAGGGCAGGAATGAGATTAGATGGAAGCCCACATCCACATTCCTATTTAAAATCCCCCATCACACCAGACATGATGCAGGCCTTTCACAGTGGTGCAGGCCTTTAATCCCAGTATTTGGGAAACAGAGGCACGCAGATCTCTGTTAAATTCAAGGCCAGCCTGGTTTACAGAGTGAGTTCCAGGGCAGTCAGAGCTACATAGTAAGACCCTGTCTTGAGTAAATTCCTCCATCCTGCTATGAGTTCAGAGCAGCCAATTCATGCTTAGCACTAAAGACCAGTTTGCATTGGTGTCTTGGGAATATTCCAGGGGGAGTGGCCCGAGTCCTTCTCACACTGACCTATAATCTAGAAGGGATGCAGGTTCTGCTGGGCATGCTCAACAGCATGTGTGGCAAGAAGACTGGAAGGAAGATGGGGGGGGGTGGGAGGAAGGGGAGGGAAGGAGAGAATTATTCCCTAGGGCCTTTCCCACTGCACCTCTCCCTCTCCCCACATCTGACATGCAACACTTCTTGCTCCTCCCGAGCTCAGTTCCAGAAAGCTCTAGCAGGATAGCGGGGAAGTTTGGAGTGCCTAGGCCCAGACCTTGGCTTGGAAACACTCTTTTCTAGGAAGAGGAGGACTCCAGGGAATAAAGATAGATTCTACACTTTGGCAAAGAAAAGAGCCCAGAGGCTGGCTGCTGGGGCTCCTGGGCCAGTAAGGTCAGAAGAGTCTTCAATAGAATACTGACAGTCATGAACTCATACCCAACATGTTATTTTTCTTAAGATTGCACAGTAATACTTAAAAAGTATCATTAGGGCATGGGAAGGATGATGGGAAGGTGGACAATGGCACAGGGGGCGTTGGGGGGGAGCCATTTTCCATATTATATACCATCATAAGCAACCGGCATTGACAACCATCAGCTGAATACTTCAAATCAGTTGGGAGACCAACAGGCATCTTAAGATATAAACATGCCTATCGCCTTCATCTGGTCACTGCACACTATGTACCTATGCTGAACGGTCATACAGATCCATTAATGAGTCCAGCCATGAGTCATTAAGCATCAGGTGATGGCTCAGTAGAAACTGCTGCCAAGCATGACTACCTCAGTTCAATCTCAGGACCCACACAACAGGAGATTGTAGGGAAAATGTTAGCCACGCCCTCTTGGGGGCTGGCACAGGTGACAAAGACCACCCACACTGAGGCCAGAGTGATGTAGTAAGACTTTAAATATGAGGGTCGCACGCATGCGGCTCTCTCTGGTCCGCCTGGTTGCATGGGACTGACTCCGTCACGTGAGTACTTTTTCCCATTAAAACATCTGCTCATCAAACTTGCTGATTCCTTAGCAATCCCCATTTATTGCGTCTCACTTTAGGAGAGAACTGATTCCTGCAAATTGTCCTCTGACCTCCATAAGTAGTAAGGACTATGGTGTGTGTGTGCACACACAAAATAAAATGTAATTTAAGGGACTGGAGAGATGGCTCAGAGGTTAAGAGCAGTGACTGCTCTTCCAGAGGTCCTAAGTTCAATTCCCAGCAACCACATGGTGGCTCACAACCATCTGTTATGAGATCTGGTGCCCTCTTCTGGTGTGCAGACACATACATGGAAGCAGAATGTTGCATACATAATAAAATCTTTTTTAAAAAGGAGAGATGGTTCAATAGAAGAGCACTTGTTGCTCTTGCAGAAAACCTGAGTTCAATTCCCAGCACCCATATCCACCTGTAACTCCAGCTCCAGGGGATTCAAGGACTCTAGGAACACACCCACTACCCCCACCCACATACTCACATAATTAAAAACAAAAGATTATTTAAATTTCCAAATGGAAAGAGTCTTCCCAGCTTTTACATGGATATAGTAAATGACATTAAGAGGAAATTCTTGGCCTGGTGGTGGCGGTGGCAGCAGCACACGCCTTTAATCCCAGCATTCAGGAGGCAGAGGCAGGTAGATCTCTGAGTTTGAGGCCAGCCTGGTGGTCCACAGAGCAAGTTTTAGGGCACCCAGAGCTACAGAGAAACCCTGTCTCAAACAAACAAACAAACAAACAAACATAGAGCAAATTTTCCTATATAACCAAAGACAGAAGTGAAAAGGCACAAAAGCAGAGCAGAACATTGGAAATGGACAGGATACATGATTCACACTGGACACACACTTCTAAAAGCGTATCTCTCTCTCTCTCTCTCTGTGTGTGTGTGTGTGTGTGTGTGTGTGTGTGTGTGTGTGTAGTTGAAGCCAAATCTTACATTGAATTATTTATTCCTCAATGAATAGTGAAACCCAGGAGGTAGTGTGACTGCATGCAACTGTGGATTGGTCCAGAGGGATGCCTGGTCACTTCAATCACTGGCACAGTTACTGTGCTAACGAATTCCACAGATGAAGTGAGCATGGCCTACCACTCATCCTACTGGGCAAACTTATGACCCTCTCTTCATCCCTGTGATCTGAATGCACCCTGGGTACAGGAAGACATGGAGAACAGAACAAGTGCCTTTTAAGTGACACTATTCTATAAGCCACTGTGTGTGGTCTGAGTATCTGTAATCACCTGACTTGGACACAGATACCCTGTGCCTCCACTGTTATTTCCAGAGTGCCTGTCCAGGTCACCTTCCTGGTCCCCAGCCTAATGGTGAACTTGCTATAATTTGCAGGATGTCCATGTGGCAGTGGGGAGGCTCACTTACCTAAAAGATTCCAAAGGGACCTGGGGACAAAGACAGTGGGACTAGGCAGGGCTGGCAATTAAACATGGAACTGAACACTAAAGGGTCACCTGGTAGCACCTTCTGCTTTAACTTAGCAACATATAATACTTCTAACCCATGCCAGTTTTGTTTGTTTTTAATTCTGCCATTTTCTCTTAAATTTTAGGTATTAACAAAGATAACAGTTATGAATCCAGAGCATACAAAACACAAAGCTACAGAAAGATTCCCAATGTGCACAAGTAATTTTAGAAAATAGTTTAGTACACTCTTGTTATAAAACTCATTTACAGGAGATTATTCACATGTTCTTGTTCAAATTTGCTCCTGATAATTCATGAAAACATAACTGAACAAACTGTGGTAAATAAGAGAGAAGCAAAGTGAGACAGGTAAGGTATAATACATTAGCCTTGAAATAACATTTTGAAAGTAGTCAGGGCATGTTCTTTTAACCACAGAAAAGACAAAGTGAACTTTTCATTTTGTCAGGATTAACTACTCATGACAGTGCCTTCAGGAAAAGGCCACCTGACACAGCAAATGCTTTCTGCAAATACCTTTACTAACTGGAATAAATAAGGTTTCCAAATCTAACGACACACACTTACAATCCGCTGAGAGAGGATTCTAAGGCAAGGCTTGGTTGCTGGAAAGGAGGATACAAGGACTCAAGGCCCTGGCCAGAGTCTAATCCCAGTAGCTTTTTATACTCACAAAATAAACAACTCCAGACCCTCCTAATTTTCACATACTCTGAAGTGGTTAGCAGTAAGCCCACAGATGAACACACGCCGGGTGGCAGCCAACTACAATGTTTTGAAAAAACTTATTTTTAAAAACTTGTTTCTTAATCTATGTGGTAATGTGAGCAGAGTAGGAAATGCCCTGACCATTGCCGTTTTTGTCATGCCCGCCTGAGAAGCACACTTTTGGCCTTCTTTAGTAGTCACGTTCACAAATCCCTGCTAAATTGAGCACATCTCAAAGACACCAGGAAAGAAAATATCAAGTGGCAGTGAGGTTTCCTGCCAATGTCACATACAGAAGGCTTATTTAATCCTTGCCCTAGCCAGAGTGGATTTACTTCCCACCTAGCCAGGTACAGCCATGAGGCTGAAGCGCTGAGAGGTATCGACTCCCCTAGTTTTACAAGTGTCCAGCAGACATAAGGGTACATGTCTGGACACCAGCTGAAAAGACAGCACAGGAAACTCAATATTGAGACTTGGCAGAATGCACACTGTTTTTTCAAAGCTCTTAACAAATAAAACCTGCTTTAGCAGAATTTCTAACACAAGCCCTTTTGTTTAAGAACAGATGACAAAGAAAATTCCAAACATTTTCAGGGATGTCTTCCTGCCCCAAAGCAGCTAAATAGGCAGTATGTACAGTACAGTAGTCACTAGAAACCCCACAGTCACACGCTCTTCTACACGGAAGTCTGGAAACCTGACCGGTTAGCTAGTCCTCCCTCGTCCTGACTCCAGACCCCCCATGCTTTCCTCTAACAGGTACACCAGGTCTGACAGAGGCTGAGTGCCCCTAGTGAGCCAACACAACAAGTCCCATCTATTAGATGGTCCTGAAACCCAGACGACAAACTCTTCCCTTTCTCACGGAGTATCTTTCCTGCCTGAGATACACTATTTGCCCTGTGCAGCTTCCATGGAATCCCTCAGAAAGCATCTACTCTTTATTTTCCTGGCAACCCTAAAGGCTTCACTTCACAAGCAATCCAAAAGGACTCTTCCAGGCCAGGCCAGTACAAATCCTCCATTTGGTAACCATGTCTACAACTCACCAGTTATACCAATCTCATAAAACATTGGGACCATCTGAATGACAGTTCACGAATTGTTCTTCTGTTGAGAAGGGAAAGAAATTTAGCAAGAAAATTAAGTCATACACTAATAGAGGTAAATAAACTTGTGATAGTAATGTCCTGTACCAAGCTGCCTTGTCTCACAAAAACTCCCAACATGTGCCGTCTGAAGGCTCAGGAGCCCCCCAGCAGTTCTTTAAATAAGACACTGGCTACTAGTACCAACTTGGCTAACTCCCAGTACTGAGGCTGTTAAAAAAAATAAACTTGTCCACCATACAATGGCTGAAAACACCTGTCCTCTCTCTCTTTAAATTTGTTCTGTTGGAAAATGACTAAGCAGAGGAAGGAAATGTGGTTTACATTTTAAAAGGATTTCGGGTTGCTATACAGACTCACAGTTTAACCTTTACAACATTCACCTGACCTGACCTTTTCTACAGAACAAAAGATCCCAATGTTTTGAATTTTGACCTCACAGACATTACAGGTAAACAAATGCCCTCTCCAAGTGTATACAATTGGCAAAAAGTACTGAAGATGACCAATAGCCTAAGGGTTAGAAGGTATTTTCATCCTTTAACTCAGACTCTTCAAGGGAAACAAAACTAAAACCCAGCTGATGTGTATGGTGTCACTAGCTACCTGAGGATGACAGTCTCACTGCCAGGAGCTACTATAGAAACCGTCTCTTCTTAGCACTGCTGTCCTCCTGTTCCAGCCTTCTCCTGTTCCAGTCAGTACTCCTCAGCATGTGATGAGTCACAGAGCCACGTCTTTCCTCTTCACTGAAGTCCCTGGATTCCCTTCTATGACTGAACCCAGAGTCTCGGTCACTGTACTTCCTCTTACTGGTGGAAGGAGCAGCAGGGTGAGCCGGTGGTGGCTCAGCCTGAAGAGGAGACCTATGGCTGTTCATAGGGGCAACGATGGCAGTGGATGGTGGCACAATAAAACTCAGGTCGTGTAAAAACAAAGGAATGCCAGACTCTCCCAGGAGATGGACTAGCCCAGGGAGCTGGGAGTTCAGAGGCTGTGCATTTTTCAGGAGTGTTCCCTTGGCTTCAGCATCCAATCTCCTAAGCAGTCGTGGATCTCGAAGTCGGTCTTGAAGAGGTGGCCTTTCAGGTTCCTTAGTGACAGCATCAGAGGGTGTATGGTACAGAGAAGCAGCAAAAGATGTCTTGGCAAGTCCACTGTCCAGTTTGTTGCTGGGCAAGCCACCCTGAGGTCTCGGTGCCTCTGGGGCAGTGGCTGGAGGATGGGTCAGACTCCTCTGTAGCACAGGCTTCAGTTTCAGAATTTTCATTGCATCATGTCTATAGTTTGGGTCACAGGTCTTAATAATGGCCCCACGCTTTTGAGCATCCTGAATCAGTTCATACCAATGTTGGTTTTCCTGAAACAAAGAGAGAAAAACAATCACACCCTACAGAAACATTCATTTTGCTGGGGAAACATAAGGGTCCAACTTCCGTTTCCAAACAAACAAGTGTAGTCTGGTAAACAGATTCCCAAGAATTCACCAGTCACTCAGCAAACAAGAGTGATAGAGAAGCTCAAGCACAGTGATGAGGAGGCATAACTAAACACCAGGGCTGGTGACAGCTGCAAGGAAACTCTACTCTCATCTCTGCCATCCTTGCAGCATAGTAAGATGTTCTCCCGCAGGGTACACTGGCTGTTCCCAGCTCTGCTGAGCTGTTTAAATTAATGTTGACTTAAATTGAAAACTACTGTACTTCTGATGCATCATCCCCACTTAAGTGCACAATGGCTACATTCCTCCAGTGGCTACTGTAGTAAGCACATGACTTCCCCACTACTACACAAGTTTCCTTTGTCCTCTGCATCCAGCTGATCTAGACTACCTCTTGCCCCTGGGCATGGCTGACATTCTAATAGTTAAGACTTGGTTTCAGAAAGCAAAATTCTGACCACATATGACTGTTCTTGAAGAAAACCCACAGCAGTTACTGGCTTCCCAAAGGCCTCCCAAGTCACAAAGGACTAAAACATCTTAATCTGAGGGAAGATTCCAAAGATATTCTCTGTCACTTAAGAAAAAAAAAATGTGTATAGATATTTGCCTATATGTATGCAAGCCCATGTACCACATGTGTGCCTGGTGTCCATGGAGACTAGAAGATGATGTGGAGTCCCTAGAACTGAAGTTACAGGAGGTTGTGAGCTGATATTGGATGCTGGAAACCAAACCAGGGTCCTTTACAAGAAGAATCGTGATCTTAATCCTTGAGCATCTCTCCAGCCCAATGATCTTTCTATTTTACTCTTCTCTTGCTTATGCTGTATGCATATTGCTGGTGATGGACTTGGGGCCTTACGCCTGCTAGGTAAGTGTTACATCACTGAACTATCTCTAACCTATCAGTAAGGGTTTACTATTTGTGTTATGTGTAGTTGTTTATATATGGGTATATGTATGTCACTGTGGGTGCCTACAGAGGCCAAAAGAGGGCATTAGATTGCCTGGAGCTGGAGTTACTTACAGGCAGTTGTTTGCCACCCAACATGGGTGCTGAGAACAAAACTCTCCCTGGAAAGGAAGCAAATGTTTTAAACCACTGAGCCATGTCTCTGGCTCCCATAACTTTATTTTAAAATGTCAACATTTATGTTATAAACAATCTTTTAGCAATATTAATGATGAAATTTTGTTTTTCCTTATCAACTTTAAAAAAAGACATAAAAAAAGGGTATATAACTTTTACAGCTTCTTTCAAGGTGTAAACAAACAAGCTAAGAGATTTAAGAGATGGGAAAATGTATCTGAATGATCTTGGCTGCTATTAACAATAGAGGGAAGAAAAACAAGCTGAGTTGGCTCTTCTCTTCAGATGACTATTTTATTTGTTTGTTTGCTTATTCAAGACAGCAGTTTTTCTATGTAACAACCCTGGCTGTCCTGAGTTGGCCTCAAACTCACAGAGATCTGCCTGGCTCTGCTTCCTAAGTGCTGGGATTAAAGGTGTGTGCCACCACCACCTGGCTCAGATGACCACTTTTAAAAACAACAAAATGTTAATGGGCTGGCAAAAGAGCTTTGACATTAAAGGTTAAAATTCAACAACCAAAAGTTCAAAAGCACCAATACATTGTAACCCTTAGATGAGTTAGCTGAGCAACAAACACATGCTACCTAGCTTTACTCACACTCTGAATCTTCCCTCTGAAGATTACTTTACTCACACACTAATCTTCCCTCTGAAAGATAGAGCGTTGTCCTTCATCCTAAGAACCCCTACAGCAGAGACTCTGGGACAGATCTCTCACATAACAGAGCAAGGAGTTGCCACCCATGGGCCCAAAGGAGGCAGCTGCACATGTTCCTGCACGCTCTGGAGAAACTGCTCATATATCCACATTTGCGCACTTTGTATGTGGAATGACAAACCCTCTTCAGTCTTGTCATTGATACACATCAGGGTTTTAGATAGGTCACCTTGAAAACCTAGTGTACACACTTGCTCCCTTGAACCAAGAACAAATAGTTTATATAATTGTATACAAAAGCTCACAGCCAAGTTTCTAGAAGACTTAACCTTTATTTTGTAATTGAGAAATTATTTCCATTTTGATAAAAAAACAAAACAAACAAAACCCCATAATAACTAACAACGGATAAGCTTGGAACTCCCTGTAGCCCCAAGAAAGTATACCTACCATCAGAGTCCTCAAATGTCCAAGGATAAAAAGGCTGTACTTGGCTCGTGTAATGGTGACATTCAATCTTTGCAAGCTTGCCAGGAATCTAAGCAACAACAAGAAAGTTACTTGTGTATGCAGAATGTCATCACATCCCTTCAGAGGGTGAAGGAAGTACTGCAGGCAGCTTCTCCAGAGCCCTTCCACTTCTTCCTAGTCAGAGTGCTTCCTCACTATCTGCCCCAACTCAGGGTACCTGGCACAGAAGCCAATACCACTAAAAACATTGAGCAAACTAAACCCTTAGTGCTTTACTTCCAAGTTAACATATTTGTTAAGAGCTCCTATTTTGACTTGGATAAAATACTAAAAATTAAAAAGGGCCTAGAAAGACAGCTTAGCAGTTAAGAGCAACTCCTGCACTTCCAGAAGATCCAACTTCCATTCTGAGCAACTGGCCTCTACAAGTGTACACACACAAATAAAACTAAAAACATACTAAGTTATATTTAAAGTAATAAACTATTATGGAACTAGTATACAAATACACAAATATATCAATACAGAAATACAATGGATATATAATGGTAAACTTTTAAATTAAATCACTATTTTAAGTCTAAACAAATCTCTAATTTGTTGGGGGGGAGTTGTGTTCTCCCCCCAAGACATGTTTTTTTCTGTGTAGCCTTGGCTGTCCTGTAACTTGCTTTGTAGACCTGGCTGGCCTCAAATTCAGAGAGCACCTGCCTCTGCCTCCTGAGTGCTGGGATCAAAGACCCATCTCAAATCTCTAACTTGTTCATTTCATGAAAAAAAAAAAAAATCAATCTAGTGACCCAACAACATCCTTAACATCGTCAGTAAGTAAACTAAGAGTACTTAAGGTCGCACCCTTAGAAAAGCTGTGTGGCATGTACCATGTGAGAATTACAGCTTTCTGCAAAATACACTTATGAACATCAGTCTTACTGAATAGAGACACCCAGTGGAAAAGAGTCAACATACAAAACACCAGGAAAAGCAGATCTCACAGATCATCTACTTCACAATTTAGACACTTTCAACCTGTTACCAAGGCTGTGCGTATGCATGTACACACAATGTAGAGGCCAGAGGTTGATATCAGGTCTTCCTCAACTTGCTCTCCATTTATTTTTCAAAACAGCACCTTTCACTGAACTCATCATTTAGGCTAGCCAGCAATCTCCCAGGATGTGCCTATCTCTGGCCTGGGTATAGTGGGTTACAGATGTGCACCATCATGCATGGTTTTGTACATGGATGCTAGACAAGTCCTTATGCTTGTATGGTAAGCACTTTGCCAAAATAAACCATCTCCTTAAACAAGCTATTTTACAGTTGTTCTCAACTTTCCTAATCTGTGGTCCTTTTTACAGTTCCTCATGTAGTGGTGAACCCTGACCATAAAATTTTCACTGCTACTTCATAACTATAATTTACTATCATCATTAATTGTAAATATCTGATATGATGAATAGCTGATATGCAACCCTGTGTAAGGGTCATTTGATTCCCACCCACAGGTTGAGAACACTGTTTTGAACAAGAGAAAATAAAGCAAATGATAGGGTCCTCTTTAAGAGAAGTCACTGGTGGATCTATACAACAGAGCTGATTCTCAACAAGTGACAAAGCAATGTGAGCTACTTACCCAATTGAACCTTGCACAGCACTAGCCCTGACACAGGTAACAATTATACAGTCTTTTTGCCGGCCCTGGAAGGCATCCACTGTATCCACTTCTGCAGGCCTGTTTATGAAAGGCACGTGTTTACCAAAAAAGGTAAAATTGTGAAATACACACAACAATATTTAAAACTCTTCACTGTGATGTTGGGTGATGGTGGCACATGCCTTTTACCCCAGCACTCAGGAGGTAGAGGCAGGTGATCTCTGTGAATTTGATTACAGCCTGGTCTACAGAGTTACAGGACAGCCAGGACTACAGAGAGAAACCCTTTTCCCTGTCTCAGGAGAAAAAAATAAATTTTACACACACACACACACACACACACACACACACACACACAGGGGAAGAGAGAGGTAGAGAAAGAGAGAGAGAGAGAGAGAGAGAGAGAGAGAGAGAGAGACTGAATTATAAGGTTCATTATATATTCCAGATAAGACAGTCCTTTCAGATACACAGCTTCTGAGGTCAGCACATCATCCTTTCTCCATTCTTTTCTTAGCATCTTTTGAAACACAATTCTTAAGTGTTTATCAAGTCCAAAGAAACCACCTCTTAATCTGAGGCTATGCATAAGCCTTAAGCCTTTCAGAGTCTTCTATAGTTTCATCAGCTTGATGACTTCTGTAAAGAGGCAATTGGAAGCCTGGCAGAGAAAGCACCGTTCTTCTTTGGGAACTGCCATGAGAACAGCACTGAGTCTTCTTATCCATGAACATCTTTCCGTGTTTTGGATATTTAAAGTTTTTCTTGTAACATACTTTGTAGTTTTCGGTGGATACATCTTATACTACCTTGGTTTTATTTACTACTAAGTATTTTGTTATTTTTGGTGCCATTTTAAGTAGAATGTTTTTACTTCCTGTGCGGACTACTCACTGACAACAGGTTTTTATATACTGACCCTTAAACTTGTTTAACTCCCCTAAGGGTTTCTTTGTGTAGCTTCATTAATGAATCTATAAAAAAAAACCACACTGAATTATTTATAAACTTACACAAGAAAAACATTTACTTTGGCTAAAATCTCTACTGCAATGGACAACAGAAATAAGAATAACAAGCATCCTTCATGATGCATCCTGGTCTACAGGAAGGACTGCTGAACCATCAAGGAGCAATGTTACCTATGCGTTTTTTTTACAGACGCCTTTAATCAAGTTAAGAAATTTTCTCTGTAGCCCTAATAACCTTTTCAGTTGTAAAAGATGATAGGTTCTGTTAAGTGCCTTTTCTGTTATCTATTGATACAGATTATGGATCACCTTCTCAATCTAATTGTTTGTTGTTTTGAGACAAAGTCTCCATTCTGTAACCCAGGTTGGCCTCAAGCTCATTCTGTTCATCCTGCCTTGGCCTCCCTAGTATGGAGGCCCCAGGAGTGAGATGTCATATCCTGCTTCCTTCTCTTATTTCATTAATATGCTGAGCTAACACTGCACTCTAGGATAATAAATTTCACTTGGTCATGATGTACAGGTCCCTTTAATATACACTGAATTCAGTCTGCTGCTGTCTGTCTGTTTAGCATTCTCACATCTGTAATCATGAGTGTTTATCAACCCTAATGGCTCTTATAAAACCTTCCTGGATTTGGTGTCATAAAATGAATTACAAAGTGTCCCTGGAGCTGGCAACATGGCTCATCACATAAAGCAGCTTGCCACCAAACCTGATGATCTTAGTTCCACCCCAGAAACAAGAGTTGTCCTTGGATCACATGCGCAACATGATGTGCCTGCCCACCACATAAATAAACGTTAAAAATAACTGAAAGTGTTCTTGTGCTTTTGTAAAGTCCTAAGTATTACTTACTGGGTTTTCTGTTGTTGTTTTCAGATAGGGTATTTCCTATGTAGCCCAGGTTGGTCTAAAAATAGATCCTCCTGCCTCAGACTCAAGAGTGCAAGGATTATAGGCACACAGCTGTGTTAGTGCTAACTCTGGATCGCTGGCTGGTGGAACTCAGCAGACAAATCTAACCCCAGTTTCTCATCACTAGGAGGTTTTGATTACTAGGTTCTACTTGATTATATACATAGTCTCTTCAGAATTTTTATTTTCTCTAAGTCAATTTTTTGTGTTTCTAGATTGAAAACCTTAAATGTTGTTAGTTTTGGTATTTTAAAAGATTTTTTTGTGTGTATGTCTTTGAGAGTCAAAGTGCATGTGTGCATGTGAGCAAAGGCCACAAGAGGATGCTAGATGTCCTCTTCTACCACTGTCTACTCTTTGAAAGGGTCTTTCCCTGAACCTAGAGCTCATTCATGCTTTCTCAGATAGGCTGGAAGCCAGCAAAATCCAAAAGATCCTCCTGTCTCTGCCTGCTTCTGACCTTGGATTACAGAGAAGTGTACTGGGCACTCAGCTTGTTCCCTAAATGCTGAGATCTGAACCCTTGTCCTCATGATTGCACATCAAGTGCAATCTTAACCACTAAGGCATCGCTTCAAATTTTGTTCATTGAGATAGGTCTCATGTAGCCCAGGTTATCCTTGAGCTCACTATGTAGCAGAGTGTGATGATTAGTGTTAGTAATAGTCAACTTGGTAAAAGTTATTAACAGCCTAAGAAATGGGTTGGGAGCAAGACTCTGGGGAATTATCTACTGATGGTGTTAGTTGAGTTGGGAAGACCCACCCAGTGTGGGTGACACCATTCTCTATGCAGGAGACTCCGGACTGTGTAAAAGTGGAGAAATCGAGCTCATCACTAGTATGCATGCATTCACTGCTCTTCTTCTTCTGACTGGATGCTTCAGGGTCCTGCTGCCTTGACTCCCCAATCATGATGGGCTGTAATAAACTGTGAGGTGAAATAAACCCTTTAATGCTTTTGCCACAGTATTTTGTCACAGCAATAGGGAAAAGAAACTATGGCATCAAAGGAAACCTTGACTGATCGTTCTGCCTCCACCTTCCAAATGCTGGAATTACATGTTTCTTACCACACACCTGACACTGACTTCCAGATTTTAATCTATAATTTTAATGTAGAAGTAAGGAGACAAAACCACAATCTTAGCAGGGCCTGGAGGTACTGTAATTCCAAGTACACAGGGGACTGAGGCAGGAGGATAGCAAGTTCAATGGCAACCTGGGAAACTTACTGACAGTCACAAAATAATAAAAAAGAAGACTGGATAATATAGCTTAGAGATGCTTAGAGCACTTGCCTAATGTACAAGACCCCGATTCAACCCCAATACTGTTAAGAAAAAAAACCTAATTCAACTTTGATAAACACCAGAAAAACATGTAAAAATACGTCACCCTTTCTTATCAAATTCTTTCTCCAAATCCTTCTGGATCATCGTCTTCTGAGCCTTGTAATGAGTTATTATGCCAATATTTCGGGAGGAAATATCTTTTCTTTTGTCTTTAATAAGTTTAATTATTTCCATCACCAACTTTATTTCTTGAACATTTATGTATGAGCTAAACGAGATGAAAAAAGACAATGCATCAACTCTCAAAGTAGTATAATTGCTCACTAATTCTATTTAGTTTGTTTCCCATTACCATAAAGAGCACATAGATAGGTATTTTCCCCTTTAGTCAGTCAGCAGTATCAAAAAGATGTAATAGTAACTATTCATATATATAAATAACTATCCAATCCATGAAGTGATTGTAAAAAAGGAATTTATAGTCAACTGAAGTTTGAACCAACAACCACATAGCTGAAAACATGCCACCCAGACAGATAAACCACCAGGGTTGAATAGCACAAAAGCCATCTCATCCTGCCATTACTTTCTTTGCTGGCTCCATAACCTGTACTCCCAGCCCAGACCGCCAAGTATCCTCTGCTCTACTTCTGAAGGTGCCACATAAACCTTGCAGTTGCAATCCCTGCAGTGTTGCAATCCTACTGGCAAACTCCTCCGAATTTTTCACTTCTTCAAGTAATGTTCCTGCTCATTTCCTATTCTGGTCTTAGAATCTGCATTTTTTCCTATTTCTCCATAGCCGGGAAGTATTTATTTATGTACACTCTAATGAATACTACCTCCAGACTGTTAATTCCTCTACTCAAAGCAATCCTTGGCACCTCTGGTACATTTGCTACCTAGCATCATACCAACCATCCCACTTTGCTGTCAGTTTATAGGTACCCAATACATAACCTCACTACTCAAAATCCTTAAAATATGGTCATACTAGACCACGATCTACTCCCTTAATGCCCAATCATTCAGCTGCATCTTTTCACTGCACTTAGCCCACGTGAAATAGTCACTCATCTCAATGACTATCGAGTTAATGCCTGTCTTCCCATGACACCACAATCACCTTACAATTGACTATGACTTCTGGTCACCTGAGAGTATTGCCTAATTAAACACAGAAACGGTGAAACTATCAACACAGATAGTGAAAATGACTGTGCCCTAGTACTAGAGAGACATGTATGGGAAAGGGTTATAACATAGTAATTCTGAGACCATTATTGGAAAACAAAGGAAGAGGAAACATACTCATTATCCCGTCGTTCTGAACCATCTCCAACATCAAACACCAGGTAGGGCTGAAATGGCCACTCTGATGAACACCGAATGGTTTCAGTCATTCTGTAGAAAAGCAACCACATTCAGAAAACATGCTCTAAAGTACATTAACTTTTTTTCTGTGTAAGACAGAACCAGGAAAAAGTTAAGGGATAAGAGGTCTTTCACAGATGCATAGCAGTGCAAAGTCTAAACTGGATTTTATTTCCATTCTGCTACCAAGGAAGGTGATCTACACAATTACAATGAAGAGCTCATAACATAGCACATGAGATTAAACAACCAGGGCTGGGGAAACATGGTGTAGCCTCCAGAGAGAGCAAACACACAAATATGGCTAAGAGCTAGGCATCAATCCCCGGCAGCACCAACACAAGACAGGTCATGAAGTTATCAATGATTATATCTGAGTTATATTAAATACTGGTGACTTTTGCCTCTCTCTCTTTTTCAAGACTGTGTGTATAGCACTGGCTGACCATGAACTCAGAGATCAACCTACATCTGTCTCCTGACTGCTGAGATTAAAGGCATGTATTTAATATAATCAAAATAGCACTTATAATTAGAGAAAAATCATTTTAAATTCATGATTTAAGCTGATCGACCTCCCAAAAAGGTATTACTTTGCAGCCTAGGCTGGCCCTCTTAACTCTCAACAAGCTTCCTGCCTCAATTTCCCAAGTAACAGGATCACCCACATCAGCTAACACAGCTAGCATGATTTATGCTTTTTAGGCCAAGACTTCTTTTATAAACAGCTAAACCTCCAAACAGAACAAGCTTACAAGCAATACAGGATACCTACCTATTTGTTTTCAAGTTTTTGTTATAAACATAATTAGAAGGGAAGAGACATATGTCTGGATGCATCCTGTACTGAATGGTAAGCTGTAAAATCGGCAGCCTGCCAATCATGTTCTGCTCCACATTCTCTTCAAGCAGCTTGCAGAATCGTGCCATCATTGATTGGTCATAGCCATACTCCTGTGCTTTCTGAGAGGAAGGGAAAAAAGTATTTAAGAATTTGTACCAAAAAAAAAAAAAAAAAGAGCCCAGGGCAGTGGTGGCACACACCTTTAATTCCAGCTCACAAGTGGCAGAAGCAGGTGGATCTCTTGAATTTGAGGCCAATCTGGCTACAGAGTGAGTTCCAGGACAGCCAGGGCTAACACAGAGAAACCCTGTCTCGGAAAAAAACAAAAAAACAAAAAAAAAAACAAAACACAAAAAAAAACCCTCTATCTCAACATTTCCCACAAAAAGAAGTAAAATCAACAAAAAAACAAAAAAAAAACAAAACACAAAAAAAAAACCCTCTATCTCAACATTTCCCACAAAAAGAAGTAAAATCAAGAAAATAGTACTTGGATCATGCTGGCACTCAGTATGTAATACAAAAAAAGAATATACACACAAATGCTAAAATACTAAATTTTCCACAGTAATTATCTCCAGAAAATAAGTGGTTTTAAAAAACTACAAGTAAGCTAGGAGTGGTGGCACACACCTTTAATCCCAGCACTTGGGGAGGCAGAGATCTACCAGCCTCTGTGAGTTCCAGGCCAGCCTGGTCAGTAAAGTGAGTTCCAGGATAACTCAGGCTATTACACTGAAAAGCCCTGTCTGGAAAAGCTAAAATAATAACTAAATAAACAAACAGACAAGTACACTAATGAGTTAATTGGCTCAGTGGTTAAGGGAAGAGCACTTGTTCTTGCAAAAGGTCCAGGATTGATTCCCACCACCCACATGGGAATTCATTACATATACAAAAAATAGTATTTTTAAAAAGATGTTAAAAACATCAACTTTGTAATCACTTTCAAGTTTTCCTCAGTAAGCTTCTTTTATTTGTATAAGAATTTTTAAAAAGAACACATAGTTGGATCTTATTATTCTTGTTGTTTTTACCAACTATCAAGACAGTAATGTTGAGGGCATCAGCAATCCTTTCCCTGCATGCTGAGGCCTTTTGAGAGGTTAAAACCCTGTATACCTGAGAACTGCAGCAGCATTCCCTGCTCCCTATTCTCCACAAGCAAAATTCCTGAAGCAGTTCTGCCCCAAAGTGGCTGTGCACTTGTGCTCACAGAACTGTTCCATCATTCTCAATAAATCCAAATAAAAAACAAATGGCAACAACAAAAGCAACACACTCACTGAATAACTGGACTTTTGAAAATGATATTTTCTCTGAGCTATGAGGCCACCACTCTGCATAAAAGATGTTAGTAAAAATAAAAATAAATTTTATTAATTTCAGAACCATGGTATAAGCCTATTTAGACTGCCCCAAAACAATTACTGAGTCCTAATTCAGTTATGTATTTCCAGTAGGGGAAATATTTCTAGTAGGGGAAAAATACAAAACAAAAAAGGCAAACTGAACCATGTCAGTACTCGTCTTCCACAGCTGAGTTCAAAGTGGGTACATTTTGTTATCATCTGCATTTTCAGATGTGAGGGGCACCTATTGAAGAAAAAAAAATGCCCAAACTGGACATCAATTTCCAAATCATACCTCCTTGCATTTTTCTCAGCTTTGGGAATACTCAGTGTAAAGCATGTGGTGGTAGTGGGGGTGTCTTTACATTTTAAAGTTGTCTTACATGTTTTGTGATCTTATCAAAACCGATATAACTCCTTCAGCAGGGAAAGCCTGTGGCACTGCAAAGTGACCTTTAGGTTTTCCTGTCTATGAAACTCAAAAGCACGTCAATGCACAAATAGGACATTTACAGAGATGCTCACTCTCTTTTGACAAGGTCTCATTGTGTATCCCCAGCAGGTCTCAGCAGAGAACCTGCTCAGCCTGCTGAGTGCTAAGATAGCAGGCATGCACAATCATGTCTGGCCACAATTTCTTATGAAACTTCAAATAAGTTTTCTCTGCTCTCTGTCATTTCCTAATTTTCCCTTCAAGTTGAAACAGAACCTTACTCTCTCAAAAACAAAAATAGTCCCTCCACCATCAACAGAAACACTCACCATAGAAATGACTGTGGGAGGGAGCTGTTTCGGGTCTCCTACTAGGATAAGTTTGTTGCAGCGATGAATAAGTGGAGAAAGTGTCTCAACTTCACAAGACTGTCCAGCCTTGGTAAGAAAGTGTAGAAGGAGAAATAGCCTTAATTAAGTTCTAATGCTCATAAAAGTACCAAATTCCTCCCTTACTACAAGATAAACCTTTTTTTTTTTTAATTATGCAAGACCTCACACTTGTTGGGCAAGTGCTTTAACACTGAGTTATATCCCAGTCTCTATAGCAGGTATAAAAAAAGCATTTTTAAAAATGTTCAAAGTATATTATACTTGTATGAAAATGTCTTCATGTAAGACATTATACCAGGTACAATGAAGATATAACAATGAAAAAATATAAAAATTTCATTATAAAACTAAAATTATCTAAACACAATTCTAACAAGTATTTTGAACCCAACCACCACAGATGCCTTAACTGTAGAGTTAGCTACCAATAAGAAGACTGTGTACATCCTAAGTGCATGGTGCATTCCTGGAGCCTAGGAAGCTCCACTGGCAGCCGTTTAACAATGTTATCTCTGAAATTCAGAAATTACTTGAGGCATGGCTGTCTTTTTCCCATCTTTCTAATTCAATAATATTGCCTTCAATTATTTCATCATTCCCACTTTTTCTGTTTTCATTTTCTCACACATAATTGACATATCTACAACAGGGTCTGGGAGCTCCAACACTGATTCTCTAAGGATCCAAGTCTGACTTTTCATTCTAGTCTGTACATTCATTCTGGTCTGTAACAGTAGGTATACAATCAATGTTCAGTGAATGGGCAAGAAATAAAAGATGTCAGCTGAAAATGCAGCAGCCAAAATTGTCCAAAAATCATAAATATTTCAAAAGCTGGCAGAGAAACTGCAGCAGCTCAACAGGATACTTCTAAAGACAACCCTGTCCAGAAGACTACAATCCTCATTTGTAACAGGCTGTCAACACCAAGTTTCACTGTATGACAACACATGCATATCAGCTAAAAGCTGGGGAAGTAGAGGCGTCTAACTTGCAAGGCTGGAGGTTCACTCTCCAGCACAGCTCAAGAGAAGTGACCACTTAGTAAAAACCTATTCTTTACCCACACTCCAGCACCCACAACTCTTCTCCACAGTACTAGTCTCACTTGCACATTGAGTGCCCACTGACCTCATCCACAATGACGCAACTAAAGGGGACACCCCCTTGTCCTCGAAAAGCAGACTCAAGCAGCAAACCACCACTTGTGCTCAGTGTGCAGCAGATGACATGAGACTCCAAGATAATGGTATTCTGTGTTTTCTGTGGTCGCCCCTGAACCTAGTACAACAAAGAATAACCGTATTTAGTTATATACAAATCCTGTAAGTTCTATTTTTACTATTAAATACATAAAAATATTTAATAAAAAGGGGAAGCCTTGGCTCTAGAAAACAGGAGAAATCCCTCTGCACAAATCCATTGTGGACTTCAAGACAATGTAAGTTGAGTTTTAGGAGAGGCAGCACTCTGGCTCCAGTACTAAAGCATTGCCAGGTTCTCTTAGCCATCACAATAGTGAATGTTGGCCCAAAATTGTTACTCTAATGGCCCATGGAAGACACATGATGAAAACATCAAAGCCCACAACACCCATGAACAATGCACTTCACCTGTTTAGTGTGGAATACTAACTTAAGAGATCATTTACATTGGTAATGAAAATATACATTAAATCCAACTGTGTTTGTCTCTGGCCAAAAAAACTACAAACCATGTTACCTGGGCTCAAATCTGTGACTTTCACCAATCTCAAAAATGTATCTGCATTAAAAATGTGCAATTCGGGGGTTGGAGAGATGGCTAAGAGGTTAAGAGCACCAACTGCTCTTCCAAGGGTCCTGAGTTCAATTCCCAGCAACCACATGGTAGCTCACCACTATCCGTTATGAGATCTGGTGCCCTCTTCTGGTGTGCAGATATACATGGAAGCAGAATGTTGTATACATAATAAAATCTTTAAAATAAAAAAAGTGCAACTCTTGCCATTATTCCCTAAAATAACAGTGTAAAAACTGTATCTATAAAATTTGCATGATGGACTGGAGAGATGGCTCAGCAGTTGAAAGCACTGACTGATCTTCCAGAGGACCTGGATCACTTCCTAGCACCCGCACAGCGTGTCACAACTGTCTGTAACTCTAGTTACAAGGCCAACATACATAAGTTACATGCAAAAGCTTTCTTGGACTGTGGTTGGTTGTCTGGGAACGAAGGACCAAATGGACATGATACAGGATTCAAAAAACGTATTCTCTAAGCCAAGATTTGGAAATCGGAGGGGGTAAGAGGAGGAGCTGTATGTTTTTATGCCAAATCATATCCACTGTCACTCAATTTATATTCATAAAGGAGCATATGATAGTTTACAGTTGCTACCGTCTTACTAAACTACAAATACGGTTCATTCCTAGTCTTCTCTTTCTGAATATCCATAAACCTCCTCTTGAACTACTCATGGTAGCAATTATCTATTTGCAGTTGGTGAAAAAAGAAACTACATTTAATACTGACTTATACCTAAGAGAAAAACTAATGTCTCCACTTTTGCAGGTGCCATTTTCATGTTAAATATTTTTTAAAACAAAACCTCAGCTGGGTGGTGGTGGCACACGCCTTTAATCCCAGCACTCCAGAGACAGAGGTAGGTGGATCTCTGTGAGTACCAGGACAGCCAGGGCTACACAGAGAACCTGCCTCAAAAAAAAAAAAAAAAGAAAAAGAAAAAGAAAACCTCAGCCCTTATGTCCTCTCTGAACTGTTTCGTAAAGAAAGCAAAATGCTGCATGCAGGTAAACTACTTACCTCTTTAATTTTCGAAGCAAGTTCTTGCCTTTCTTTTGAAACTTTGACAATACATCCATCTAATTCTAGCCTCTGAAAACAAAACAAATTAGAACATTACCACGAAAACCAAGCACTTTAGAAAGCTCTCAGTTACTTCACACCTTAGGAAAAGTGGAAACTATCTTACACATGAACTCACTAAAACAGTATGTTCTCTTCCCTACCAGGAAAGTCGTTAACAATGCTCTGTACAGTTAAGGGACAGAGTTATATCTCCTGTGCTCCATGTTTGCTGTCTGCCTAGTATCTCAAACCTTGGAGCATCATTCCTCCATTCATGTCTAAAGTGCACCACACACAACAATCCTGCCATAGTGATAAGCATATAATGCAAGCATGGGAAATCATGGCACCCAGAAACTAATCAAAGTGTATCCTTGGAACAGACACATGTTATTTTAAGCTGGAGTGGTGGTGCCCAGAAATACTTGTCCTCTCATAAAAAAGAAATGGCTGACATACAGAGAAAAGGAAATCAAAAGGTGGCAAATGTTAACAGCTAAGGCTCTTGATCCAACAATACTAAAAGTTAAGTCACTCTTGACTTTGCGTATATGAGCCAGCAAATTCTTTTTTCTCAACCTAATTAGAAATGTTTTTTTTTTTTTTTGGGGGGGGAGGGGGCTTGAGGCAGGGTTTCTCTATAGTTTTGGAGGCTGTCCTGGAAGTAGCTCTTGTAGACCAGGCTGGTCTCAAACTCACAGAGATCTGCCTGCCTCTGCATCCTGAGTGCTGGGATTAAAGGTGTGCGCCACCAACACCTGGCCAGGTTACTTTTATGTATGGTTGTTTGGCCTGCATGTATGTCTGTATCACATACATGCCAAGAATCGGAAGAAATCAAAAGAAGGTATCAGATCCTCTGGAAGCGGGAATTACAATTGTTTGTGAGCTGCCATGTGGGTGCTGGGAATCAAACCTGGATCCCCTGGAAGAGCAGCCAGTGCTCTTAATCATTGAGCCATTTCTCCAGCCCCTAAAACAGTTTAACTCACCAACTGAAAATTGCCTAATAAGTACAATAAACCATCTACTTTTGTAAATAAATGTTTACAGCAATACAACTGCATCTGTTTGTTGACAATGATCTGGTAAATCTTCAGAGTCCCAATCAAGCTGAGAAGCTGTAACAAACACTGTGTGGTCTATAAAACATAGTGTTTACTTCACAAAAAAGTTTGCTAGCCCTGACATTAGGCATACTACTTCAGCATAATAGACTCACGCCATATCTCAGTAAGAACACCATCACACACCCATTGACTATCCCATGTCTAAGTCAAGTCTGCAAAGAAATGTCCATACCTGCATCTCTCGTCCACCTCGACACAGAGCTCGCTGACGAGAAAGCTCATCGAGCTGACCATCCAGAAACTCTTTCTTTCTAAGCATTTCTTGAATATGAGAAGGCAAGTCTTTTTCTATTATAAATTTTAAAATCACAAGTTAATTTTAACAAATTCACACACACACAAATACAATGAGAAGGAAAACTCCTTTTCAAAGCTAAACAAGTTCTGGGATCTCCAAAATACCAATAATGTCCCCTCTTTATTACTTTGCCATACAAAAGGAAGCAGAACACCAATACAAATGCCATCACTTACTCATTCTGTGGCTGACTTGGCTGTCCAAACTAAATTTTAGGACCTCTGTATTAATAGACTTTTCTGGACCCAGTCGCACTAAATTTATATCTCCACAATTTCCTGTTGATAAAAAAACACAAAATTTAGCCAGGCAGTGGTGGCCCACACCTTTAATTCCAGCATTTGGGAGGCAGGGGCAAGTGGATCTCTTGAGTTCAAAGCCAGCCAAAGTGAGTTCCACGACAGCCAGGGCTACACAGAAAAAGCCAGGGACCAAAAAAAGAAAGAAAAGAAAAATCCTTAATTCTATGTTACCATTAGCAAATACCACTTAAAAATACTAAGCACTATTAGGTGAAGAGGCTTGGAAGAAATGGAGCAAAGAAAAGAAATGTCTCTTAGTTGGCCTGTGTGCAGCTGGAAAAAAAGAAATTTCTCCTGGGATTCTGCAACCACACAGGTCTGGGCCATATATGCACTTAGATAAATACACAAAAACAAAGGAGACCCAACCATAAATACAATTAAGATTAAAAAAAATAAAACCTAGGAGGCAGAGGCAGGCAAACCTCTGAGTTTGAGGTCAGCCTGGCCTACAAAGTGAGTTCCAAGACAGCCAGGGTATTACAGGAAAAACTCTGTTATAATAAATAAACAAACGCAATCCTTGAAAACATTTAACAATTCACAAAAAACTTGTTCATTGTCAAAAAGAACAAAATAAATCACCACCAACAACAAACCAAAACAAAATCTGTAAAATAATTTGTCTTATAACAAAAGAAGATTTTAAGTGGTTCTCATTTATGAGCACTAACTTCAAAGCCCTAAAAATAATACATTAGCAACCAAGCATTGTGTCACAGAATAATGACATTCACAAGTTATCATTATGACTTTGTAAAGACACAGGGAGGAAAAAAAAAGCCTGTATCATTTCAACAGATATAAAAGCAGAAAATGTATAATTTTTCACTGACAAAACTTTGGGCTGTTAGTTGATTTCTAACTTTACCACAACAACTAACCTGTACTTGAACACACATTTACTGTTTGTTGGTAGATGGGCTTCCTGTGTCTACTCCACCAGGTAAAAGCACATCAACCACAGCACCTGCAGCCATGCTTCTTGGCTGCGCATGCAGCTCTCTTGGACAGTGGTATCCAAACTATGGCTTCAGAGCCAGTCAGTGAACTGCAGGGTCAGCTTCGAGGTACCAGAATTGCTATTACTTCAAAGAACAGAAGAATAGACGGATGGCATCTACCCTCACAACCATTAATATATACATAGCAAAAAGGAAAGAGTTTGGCTATAAATTGATAATGTATTACGTTTTAGAGGAAACAAATACCCTGTATTAGGTACACAGATGTAAAAAAAGGAAAAATACATCACCTCTCAAAATACAGATTATGCCCCATGTAATCTGAAGTGAAAGGGAAATAAATAGATGACACTATAGCATCTAGGAACCCTCCTCAAAAGATAGGTCATTTGTTCTCTTTGTCATTTCATGTCTCCTCACTCTTGGTGATGTGATACTGTAGGTACAGCAGTTATCCCTCACCAAGAGGTACACTAAGGAATGGAAGGTCACAACACAGTAAGGCTCCAGGACAGAAGGAAGTCGGTTCCCTGAAGACTGCACAGCAGAGACTAGTGCCCACACTAATGGACTCCCTAACTTTTGAACTGGAAGCAAATATCTATCACGCTTAAGCTAATGCAGATGGAATTTCTGTTACTTGTAATGGACTCTGATGTTAACTAAAAAAAGGCAGTGTGACACTATTTAAAAAAAAAAAACAAAACAAAAAAATAAAAACAAGAGAGTATCATACCCAAAGGATTCTTCTTGTCTTTACATTTTTCTTTGAATTCCAGGATAATTTTTTTCATAAGTTCATCAACAGCTGCATTGGAAGGTGCACACACGAGGACTCGGTTTTGCTTGATTTTGGCATTGAAGTTTTCATCAGAATGGCCCTTCCTCTGGTTCTACAATTTGTCACACAGCAGACAAACAACAATGAGCTCTATTCTTAGGATCCAAATCTTTCTCTGCTTTCAAGTTCTCACAATGGTTAAAGCATCTATTCCTCACACAACATGAAAGTTGCTGTGGCATGTGGTGCTGCATAGCACTCACAAGCACACAGGAGACCCTGGGCTTCAATCCCAGTACCACAGAAACAGAAGCAAGGAAAAAAAGAAAAAAAAATATTTCTCTGGCACAAAGTTTATCACAACTGTTTGGATGCTCTATGCCTTACTTTTATTTCAACATTACTTAATATTCAGTCCAACCAATATGTCACTCAAGAATACATTCAAGGCGGGGAGTTGGTGGCGTACACCTTTAATCCCAGCACTCAGGAGGCAGAGGCAGGCAGATCTCTGTGAGTTCGAGACCAGCCTGGTCTACAAGAGCAAGCACCAGGACAGCCTCCAAAGCCACAGAGAAACACCCTATCTTGAAAAACCAAAAGGAAAAAAAAAAACATTAAGAGGCTATAAAGATGGCTTAGCAGTAAAGAGCACTGGAGGCTCTTCCAGAGGTCTCAGGTTCGATTCCCAGTGCCCACATCATGGCTCAAACTGCCAGCAGCCCCAGTTCCCGGGGAATCTGTTATCTTCTTCTGGTCTCTGTTAAACACTGCATGCATGCTGTATACAGCCATACGTGTGGACAAAACACCCATACAAATAAAATTTAAAACAACAGTAATAATAATAAATCTTTTAAAATACACAAGGAAAATGGGAAAGGCACGTTAAGACCTACAAGCCTCGTAATTTTGGTCAAGCCAAGTCCAGGCTAACAGTATAACACCTACCTCTGTCAATAATCGATACAAGAGACCTACAATGGTTTTTGATTTTCCTGTTCCAGGTGGTCCATGAATCAAACATATTTTAGCAACAGATGGTGAGTGTTTCACCATAGCATATGCTGTTTCTATGGCTTTCTTCTGGTCTTCATTGAAGTCTTTTAAGTAGGTAATCTATAGAGAAGATGTGTGTAATGAGTTCTTTCTGTCATGACACATGGGAGAAGTAATGAACAGCATTTGTTCAACTTTCTTCCAGTCTATTATGTCAAACAAAGCAAGTGTCTAAGTGACTGACTTAAGAAACCACTATCATGCCGGGCAGTGGTGCACGTGCATTTAATCCCAGCACTCGGAAGGCAGAAGCAGGCGGACCTCTGTGAGTTCGAGACCAGCCTGGTCTACAAGAGCTAGTTCCAGGACAGCCTCCAAAGCCACAGAGAAACCCTGTCTCGAAAAACAAAAACAAATAAATAAATAAATAAAATTAAAAAAAAAAAGAAAGAAAGAAACCACTTTCACTAGAGAAACTAGTGAAACTAGAGAAACTAGAGAAAACCTAATCAGTTAATCAGTTACTAATTACTAGTTAACACCTACAGGCTTCAGCCTACTTAAAATTGTGGCTTTATTTATAATATTACAATAGATTTTCTTAAATAAGCTTTTCTTTAGTTTTTCTGACTTTTTTCCATTTAGTCAATTCTATGCTTAAGACAGTGAAGGCCTCTAAAAATATTTCTTTCCTAATACAATGTAACACAGTGGAAAACAGTTTTCATAGCCAGACCTAGTCTAAATTTCAGTCTTTCAATTTGGAAAGCCATAATCCTAACCTCTCTGACTCATTAAACTAACACTCCTCCAAGGTGCAAAATGACCAGATAATGAACAAAAAAGCCTAAGTACACACAGTAAGGATTTAGAAATACTGGTTCTCCTTTATATTTTTTGTTAATTTTCTAGACTATTTGTACAATTTTTACAGTGTAAACTACAGGTTCATCACTTCATTTACAACAATCCCACAGTTCTTCTCCACCACTGAATAAGCTAATCTACTTGTTCACATTGTAAAACTGAAGGGAACTAAACACCACTGTGCACAAGCATACAGGACTATTCAGCAGTTAAAATTAGCCCTGGCTTCATTCAAATCAGCACTCACAATTCTTTCAGATGTTGTAGTTAATAGGTCTTTGGTACAGAAATCCATGGGGTTTGGATTTAGAACAGCTCTGGCCAACTGGTTCCGACTGCTCAACAGAGACATGGCTTTCAATTTCCTCTGTGTAGTTACCAGAGAACTGATTACAATACATTTCATGAATTCATTTAGTCTGACTGGCAAGTTATCTTGTGTCTGGATGCACAAGGAACACTCAGCTTTTCCACTGCGCACTACAATCAAAGAGGAGAAAAGCAATGCATCAGTATAATGCTATCCAACTGAAATTGTTAATCAAAAGTGTTTACAAAGGTTAAAAGGTTAGTCACAACTTGTATTTTACATGACGTATTTAAACAAATCACTTATATTTACTAAATGTAAAATTCTTTTTTTTTTTCAGTTCAGGAGTTGGTCGAGGGTTTTGTGGAGTTTTACACTTGAATGACTGGTAGAGAACTGTGTGGGATTGTTGCAAATGAAATGAACCTGTAGTTTTCACTGTTAAAAAAAACAAAAACAAACAAACAAGACAGTATTGCTGCCCTCCAGAGAAAACTGCCAAACAAATATGTTGAACAGTAGTGAGTGGTTATGGAGCAGACAGGATGAGAAAGGAATGGGGGACACAGAGGTGGACAAGCTGGTCAGTGTATTCCTGACAAAATGATACTGAGATGTGAATAAGGAAGAAAGCTTTGTCCTTTTGAGAAAAAGAGAGCTACAAAGACTCACCAAGCACAGAGACCTGGAGGTAGAAGTGTGCTGGGAGCATTTCAGATATAGTAAGACAGAGCTAGTACAGCTGGAAGGAAAAGCAGGGAGGCATGTATTACAAGATCCAGAAAGCAAAATGGGGTATATTTTTGTAGAGTTCTGGGTAACACAGCAATGACTTAGAATGCTATTCAGTTAGGTAGAAAACCATATGGTATCTCTGTATAGGTAACAGGTTCTGCTTTATACATTAAAAAATAATCACTTCCCAGCTGGGTGTGGTGGGACATGCCTTTAATCCCAGCCCTTGGGAGACAGAGGCAGGAGGATCTCTGTGAGTTCGAGGCCAACTTGGGCTACAAAGGGAGTTCCAGGACAGCCAGGGGCTACAGAGACACACCTTGCCTCAATAAATAAATGGACAGGAAGGAAGGAAGGAAGGAAGGAAGGAAGGAAGGAAGGAAGGAAGGCTTTGGAAAAAGCAATAGGCATAATGGCTGGATATAGGATATAATGAACATAATCAGACAAATCTGCAACAAATCTGAAGTGGTTGTGAAAGACACAAAAGACCAGAAATTAACACAAAGGTTTAAATTATAGCTTTTCAAACACAGAGATTCAACAGTTTTGAACTAAAAGGATTTCAGGAAAAGAGATAATTGTGAATTTGATAATTATAAATTTGGCAAATGTTAATCATTTTCAAGAGCCAAAAGCAAAATTAAGCCACATATCCCTGCCACAAATCTCCCACACATGCTGTACACAAAGAATTAAGCTAAGCCAGGAGATGGTGGTGCACACCTTTAATCCAGCTCAGGAGGCAGGACAACAGAGAGAGGCCTACTTTGCAAAAAAAAAAAAAAAAAAAAAAAAAAAAAAAAAAAAAAAAAAGCTTCAATTCTGGATTGCAAATGGAAACAATCTTGGCTACATAATATTTTGAAGCAATGGATTCCCTTAGTAACAAGGAATAATTCTGACCACCTTTGGAGCCCAGCCTGGTCTACAAAATGTGCTCCAGGACAGAGAAACCGTGTCTCAAAACAAAACAAATAATCAAGCTAAATTTAGCACATCAGTTAGAATGCAGCATGGTGGGACACTCAGGATGATCAATGTTGCTTTAAAAACATGATACAATAAGGTTGAAGAATCAGGAAACCATCTTCTGTTCATATAAGTAAGAATACTAGTGTTTCACCTTTGAAATGGCAGACTGACATAAATATGGACTTTGCAGTACACCACAACTAGGTTTTGAACCATGCTTAGTGATACAGCCTACAGCAGCAGCTTCTTATGAAGATGAGGCAAGAGGATTACTTGAACACCAAAGCTCAAAAAACTAGCTGGGACAACAGAGAGAGGCCTACTTTGCAAAAAAAAAAAAAAGCTTCAATTCTGGATTGCAAATGGAAACAATCTTGGCTACAGGAGACTTTGAAGCAATGGATTCCCTTAGTAACAAGGAATAATTCTGACCACCTTTGGAGAACACTACAAATGTGCAGAAAAATAAGACACATTGCTTTGGCAAATGTTCTTATATTTAAGCTTCAGAGGAGAAATCCCTACAATGCAATGGATGAAAGTGATGGACAGTAAATTTCCAAACTCAAGGTGCCTTGTAATAAATTGTTTGCTCTTCTAATTAGTAATTAGTCACAAAACTAAGGTTAGAATGTGACTTATTAGAGGACTTGAATTCGATATGTAAAAATGATAGGTGGAAGAGGACATTAAAACAAAGCTTGAGGCTGGAGAGATGGCTCAGCAGTTAAGAGCTAGGTTTCTCAGCCCCCATGCTGGGCAGTCACAACTGCCTGGAGCTCCAGCACCAAGGGGACCCAGCACGTCTGGCCTCAGCAGTCATCTGCACTTGTGTGCACATACCTACATACACATCATGAAAAACAAAGTTTTTAAATAATAAGCAGCAAACTCAGGATCTTAAGTGGAAAACAGAAAAAGAATTCTAAATGTAAGGGATCAACCTGGCATATAACAAAATACAGGACTAAGGAAGCACAATGCACATAAAATGAGATGATCACCTTGCTGACACCTCATTTACTTACTGACTGAAGTACGGCGAAACTTATGAACATAACCACAGTAATAGCCATTTCGATCTTGCATGCCATTCCTGTTCATATCTTTCTTCTCTCTATTTAGTCTCTCAGGAACCAAAAACACCAGATCATTTTCCTTTGGATGAAGTTGTTTAGCTAGTTCAGATTCCTCCAGGTAAACTATGAAACAAAAATCAGCATTTATGCAATTCTTAACAGATTTCAAGATCAACTTACAAGCAATTGAACTTTTGTTCTGTGTTCCAAAGTACAAAGTAAGTCCTGATGGATTCTGTATTGTATATCTATTAAAAGGGTGATCTAACCCAATAAAAATGTAAAATACTGATTGTAGATCCTAACAGTAGCAGCTGTGGTTGCCTACATATGACCAGCACAAGATCAAGCCAATTCAAAACTCCAGCATTGAAAGCAGAGGAGTTCCACAGATCCCACAACTAGCTGATGAGTTACTGACAGCTGATGGCTGCTAAGGAAAGAAGGGTCACTTTTCTTTTTTTCATTTATTTATTTGCTTTCCTGAGATGGAGTTTTTTTGTTTTGTTTTGTTTTGTTTTTGTTGTTGTTGTTTTGTTTATTTTGTGGGGTTTTTTTTTGTTATTTTGGGTTTTTTTTGGTTATTTTGCTTTTGTTGTTGTTTTGTGCGCGCGTGCATGTGTGTGTGTGTGTGTGTGTGTGTGTGTGTGTAACAGCCCTGGCTGTCCTGGAACTTACGTGACAGTGTGTGTGTGTGTGTGTGTGTGTGTGTGTGTGTGTGTGTGTG